GAATGTGAAACTACGCCCCTGCGCTGAACAATCTCAGACCGCTGCGCCGGCCGCTCATGCACTAACAGCCACGTCCTAACCACCGGCACTTTTGGCATGCCATGCAAATGATACTTGAGTGCAAATGAATCTTCCGAAACGAAACGAAAACATATGATATTTATGACTTGCAACAATTTTAGCAACACAACTATATTTTTCGTGGGGTTTATCATGTTTATAGTTCCATTTCAACAGTTTTGAATGGATTTGGCTCTCGGCAACAATAAAGGCTCTTCCAAATTCATCCAAATCCAAATGCAAACATAACATTCCGTAGGGAATAGGTTGAACCGAAATTTAACGCATAAAAAATGTGCATAAAAGTCGTCTGAAACGGAAGTCATTCTCGGCTCCTTTGAACCCAGCATTGCCCCTGACTACCTAAGTGGTCGCTCAAACGCTGCTTCAAATATTTTCCGAAGGCCAGGACCGAACTCACGCACTCCGACCAGCTGCAGGGTCGCAGCTCATAAACATACCCTGCTGATCCCACGCTCAGCTAGAGGCAAACACGGCAAATCTGAGTGAAGGGACGGCCCATGCGGTCGCTGCCAGCGCAAAGGCAAAATGCCTGACTGCGCCTTCGGATTCGTATTCGATTCGAATTCGCTAGAATTGTGAAACAGTCGATGTATCCGTCCGGCATGGCAGGCCGTGGCCTGAGCACCGCCTGCCTGACGCACCTGGCCGCTATCGACCATTCTCGGTGACGTCACCAGGATCGAGTGCGTAGCAGCAGACCGTCGGCATAGTTGTCTTTCACAGCGATACCTGGTGGCCGCATACTAGCGCCACGTAGCGGAATGGAAGCAAACCTGTGAGAATCTATAGAAGAGAGTTTGGGCAGAGCGCCGGCCCGGCAATGTCAAAACAGCACACACTGACTCTGCCTCAACCGTGGACGCATTGCCTGTTCCTGCCCCAGCTGTATCTGTTCGGCCGGAAAAAGTTTGCGATGATGTAAGGCTTGAGAATTGTGAACAAATTTAGTAAAATACTGAAGAATGTGCGGTGAATGTTGACCACCTTTAACGGGCCTTCGCGCCTGTTTGGTTCTCACATCCAAACCCCAATTGTTCCAGTAATGCAACATTTGTGAAGCATTGAATTCATTTTTTCATTAATAACTTTTCTTGGGTTTTTTCATTCATTTTCAATTTTCCACTTCATTCAATATTTTAAGTCTGAAAATGATGCCTCGTCATTTCAACCGGGTGTCTGAAGGAAGACTGCGATGAAAATCCAACGTTGCAATAAACATCAACCTGATGAGTTTCATACAAATGTATTCCAATTTATGCATTTCTTTATTACAACATGCACTTGGTGATTAACGCGCCCGATGTCCTGTGGGGCAGCGCATTTCGAATGGCAGTCCTACCGTCACTCTCCAGCTCCTGGGCGGTGCTGGACTCCGCTCGGTGACGAGGTGGACCGCGGCGGGCTACACGGCAGACGTCCGGCACCTTTAAGCGAGGCGGCGGCGGTAGCTTGGGGGATTCGTCACAGCACCGGCTGCACCTCACGAGACATGGCGGGACAAAGAAGCCGATGGCGGCCGATAAGCGCTGCGCAGCGGCTCTCTCCCTCTCTCTCTCTGTATAGATGTTAATGATGTATGTATATATGTATATATGTTACATGTGGTTAAAGATAGTACGTTTATCGACGACAAACGCATATGGAAGCATTGAAGTTTGCATCAGCTCTTTATGAACACAGCACTTTTGTGAAACAGAACGGGTACAGTTGTATCCCTTTCTTGCATACTGAGAAGTAAAGTCTGTAAATATTATGTTTTTATGTGGTTAGGTAATGTATTAAATATTTGGCTACTCGCAAGCCGTTCACACACACACACACACATACGTTCTCAACAAACCAAAATTTAATCGGCACAGCAAATGCATTTCAGTTGATGTAAAACCAGACATATGTACTACTCCATGCACCATACAATACAAAAATACTTAACCTTGCCTCAGACACGTTTAGTTAGCTGTCTTACTGATGGAAATGCCTTTTCTCCGCGCGTATTAATAAAAACGCATCGCGAGGCTTTTGTCCTCCTGACGTACACACAAGTTGCTGTGCCTCTGAACAGAAGGCGACCCTCTCCCCATTCGATTCGGACGTGTGGCAAAGGAGACGCCCGTCATGCCAATGTCATGCGCAATCGCTCGCAACTACTTGGGCTAATTCTTCTGTGACCACGCGATTGCACGTCTGTACGCATATTCGGTGCTCAATGACGTCACTCACGCTCAGTCAGGCTAGCTACCTCCGGAGTCCGGGCGGCACTGCCGATAATCCTGGGTTCGAAGGTTCGCTCAAGGTTCTTCTAGATCGGGCTCGCTATCACTGGCCGGAGAATACTTTCAAACGCAGCCTCCGCGCAGCGCCCACTGCGCGTGCAACAGTGATGCAGTAGAACACATTCGGTTGCACAAGTGATTGCAGCGACTGATAAATAAGGCTCTTTGAAATCAGATGAAGGTGATGTAAAGTACAACTGGAGTCCCTGTGCAGTTCTGCACAATTCCATGAAGTTGCGATGTCTATGACAGGTTTTCACCAAAAAAAATACATAAACGTAAACGACTTCACGAAATAAACCACCAACACCATTAATTTAACAAATGCTCAGTGATCTCTTTCTGGGCGGATAGCAATCAGGGGCTTCACCACATATGAAGAGGTTTTACAGCGAAAGGCATTGGGGACTTAGTGAACGTAGATTGTAGATCGAAATGAGATCAAAATTGCGTACTGACGTTGGCAAACGACATTCAATCGGTAGTTTTCAGCCGTCATTCAAAATTGAATAAGATTTGAGGTCAAGAAGTGTTAAGAAATCGGCATGATTTCAGACAATGTAGAGCTTTCATTCAGAATGGAAGAGGACTTCAGGCAATTTAGAACCGTCATTCAGACTTGATAGTTATGAGTATGTGCGCTCGCAAGTCTCAAAACCGTGATATCCGACGCTGCAGTCTCCGGGTTTAGGTTGCTGTCTCCGGAACTGGAGGAGCAAGGGCAGAACCTCTACTTTTCGTGTTACTTTACTTAAAATGTTTATATGTTAAGGGAGCAGACTCAGAGTTATCAAGGCGAAACATACGGTCAAGGTAATCTTTCAACGATGCGAATCGACTTTGAAAGGCTTTCGGAAGGATTCTTTCACGAGGGTCGCCCTCGCCTGCCGGCGCCAGACGCCTGGTGTTACCTGCAGCGGCCGACGCCGCTCTGCTTGGTGGAGACTTCAACCTCGGCCGATCCGTGTTCTTCCTCCTGAGATTGCCAGCGCGCAGGCTCTAAACTTTTCATGGCATATGTTTCCCTGGTCGATCCTGCAAAAGGACTGACGTCCTTAAGCAAACATAGGTTGTTTTTTCAAGTTTTGACCTCATTTCGATTCACTCTTTCTAACACTTATGACACTCTTCCCTTTGGCTGGGACAAACCCGTTATCAGTTTCCGAGATACTCTGTTGTCGCCTCTGTCTTAACGACATGCTGGTGTTTCGACGCCTTGAACAAGGCATCCAAATTTGATTTAGTGTAAATGTTTCCAGCCCATAAATCGCAGCCAGCATTTTTAGAGAACAAAGTCAAGTTACAGCTCTGTAGATATCAATTTCTGCTATTCGCCACGTTGTATTTGTACAATGGGCAGTGTAAGAAAACGACTCAGTTCTCAAATGGGCTTCAATACGGGTGAAATCCTTGAAAATCGCGGTGTCGTCACGCGGTTGGTTTAAGTTGCCGATCATCTTACGGTGATTTTGACTTAACTGCCTCTTGACTCAGGCGCTCTCCACTTTAGAGCGGTGACGTGGCCTGGGCGATGAGATGACGTGGTGGCGAATACGTCGTGTGTGATCGCCAAAAACCTCCCAACACCGGGGTTTAAACCCTCAACGTGGGTTTATGGCGCTGAACGGGAAGAAAGGGCTTGTAACTTGCCCTTAATCTAACCGGATTACACCCAATTTACCCTCAACGTTTGTGGGCTAGTCTACCACAGCTGAATAAGGCAGTGCACTTCTGCTCCAATACGTTTCCTGGGTGTATATCGGCGGAAGACGTTACTGGGCATCATTATTTGGTCGAAACCAGGTTTCAGCAATCGACGCAGGATCGATGGTATGCAGCTTTAGACGCTGGGCGTGCATGGTTTCGAGAACGAAGATGTTAGTTATTGTGCGCGACTATTGAGGGGTGCCACGGGACCGCCGGCGGGCAGCCGCAGGGCGGGCTTCAGGCTCTGTGCGCGACTATTGAGAGGGGTGCCACGGGACCGCCGGCGGGCAGCCGCAGGGCGGGCCTGAGGCTCCACTCGCGATAGGCACGCTCGAGCTGCCCAGCGCTGTTTTGCTGGTGTTGGACGGACGATTACCGCTGTCGGTTTGGTCACGTGTTTTCGACCGACAGGTTTTCGTAACGGTTTCATTAAATATTTGAGTCGAAGCGGAGGTCAGCACACTTCGAGGGCTCCTCCGAGCGTAGAGACTGGCAAATTCGTCAAGTTTTTCGGTGCTAATACTCGACCGGTTTGTTCAATCCTTCGACAACACGTCGTGCCAGAATCAGGCAGCATATTGCGGCGAACGCAGCTTGCTGCAGTCCTGAAACATCGCTGCGTAATACCAAAACATTCAGGTCATGACACGAAGGTAGACCACAGTTAACGAGATATATGAATTGCGTAGTTAAAACACGCAGAATGCAGCAAAAACAGAAAATGATCAAACAAGCCTGGTACGAACGCCAAGTTCTGAATACTTGGCACTCCGTCAGCCCCGCTCAGCCAGACATTGCATTGCATTTTGCACTTTGTTTCCTTTGTCTATGAGGCAATTACGTTATGAGTTCTTGAAGTTTGCATAAGTTTTATTTTTTCTTTGAACGCTCTTCATTTCCATACCTCAGGTCCAGACGGTTGGGGGCCAAACCCACCCATGGGGGCAAACTGGACCTTGGGGGGGGGGGGGGGGGCTCACTCAAAAGGGTACAAATCGACACTCGTGCTAACGAGCAGGCGATCAACTTTGTTAGAGGCTTGTAACCACAGTCATAAGCAATTAGGCAGCAACCAATACGTCGGTACTTTCAGTACCCCTCACTCCCAGTCTAGTTACAAAAACAAACGCACAAAGCAAACTGCACTCTGTATTCATCATCGGCACCAGCACGTAAGGTGAGGTTCACACAAACCATGACACGGACACATTCGAATATGTACAAACACTCAAACGTGTATTGGCAATACTGGCCGGCACACAGTGCTCCACAGAAGCACATGTGCGCAAATGTACACACGCTCACTGAGTATTGCTGGAGACGACACCCGCAGTCGTGCTCTAAAAAGCCGTATCAACAGACCAGTGGGAGCCGTCGCTTACTGTACAGGTGCAAACGCGGAGCGCGCGCTCCGCGATCGCGTCAGATCTTGACTTTGTGTCGCCGCGGCGGCCACGGCCGTCCGCGCTCATTACAGCCGAAGGTGGGACTCTCTCTCTCTCTCTGTGTCCCGGCGCCGACCGTCCCGCCGACCGGACAGCAGCAGCTGGAGACGCCAGCTCCCCCCCCCCTCGAACCGCACAGCCGCCACCGGCGCAGCAGGGCCCTTGAGTCCGCTGACGTCAGCACGAGCCTCCAGCCGACCAGGCAGACATTGCCAGCCGACCCCGGGCCGTGCACAGTGCCGCTGACGTCCGCACGAGCCTCCAGCCGACCAGCAGACATGCCAGCCGACCCCGGCCGTGCACAGTGCCGCTGACGTCCGCACGAGCCTCCAGCCGACCAGCAGACATGCCAGCCGACCCCGGCCGTGCACAGTGCCGCTGACCGGTCACACCGGCCCGAGTGACGTTACATCGGCTCCAAACGACGTCACACCGGCCTTAAGTGACGTCACGGCGTCCCCGCGGCGCTCGAGCGCAGCACCGCCGGCTCGCGCAGGTACCCGCCGGCGGGGCACGTCAGCTCCGGTGCGCTGGCGGCGGGTCCGGCTGACCGCGCCCTGCGGGAGCCAGAGCGCCAACTGAGGTGCTGCTGCCCCAGAGGGCACGTTCGATAAAATGTCACTTCATCATTGTGGCATATGTAAATGCCGAAATCCGACCGTAACGGAATTCAGACGCCATCAAGGCACTGAAGTAGACAATGGGACAAAGGCGACAACATAAATGGAAATACATATAGCCCTTCACAAGTCAGCACAGGATTTAGACGAGGACTCTCCGTAGCGCTCTCGCCACGTGACACCTCACCTCTCTCAGGCCTCCGGTAGCGCTCTCGCCACGTGACACCTCACCTCTCTCAGGTCCGGTAGCGCTCTCGCCACGTGACCTCACCTCTCTCAGGCCTCCGGTAGCGCTCTCGCCACGTGACACTCACCTCTCTCAGGCCTCCGGTAGCGCTCTCGCCACGTGACACCTCACCTCTCTCAGGTCTCCGGTAGCGCTCTCGCCACGTGACACCTCACCTCTCTCAGGTCTCCGGTAGCGCTCTCGCCACGTGACACCTCACCTCTCTCAGGTCTCCGGTAGCGCTCTCGCCACGTGACACCTCACCTCTCTCAGGCCTCCGGTAGCGCTCTCGCCACGTGACACCTCACCTCTCTCAGGTCTCCGGTAGCGCTCTCGCCACGTGAACCTCACCTCTCTCAGGTCCTCCGGTAGCGCTCTCGCCCACGTGACACCTCACCTCTCTCAGGTCTCCGGTAGCGCTCTCGCCACGTGACACCTCACCTCTCTCAGGTCTCCGGTAGGAATGTGATGTCGCACGGCGAGAGCGAAACGTCACCGGCTGGCATCAATGACGTCACACTGGCTGCCGGAAAGAATGCGTGACTCACTGATCATCACTAGAGACGGACGGCTCCACCGACCGGGCGCCGCGAACTGAAACGTGACACTCGTGGAATAATGTAGCACGCTATGGAGCCTTTTCAACCCTTATTCTAGTCACCTCCTGCAGGGTTAATTCGCGACAGTCTGAGGTTTGAGCACAACACCATCCTAATGGGGTTCAGGAATCCGTACAGTATTTACCTAGACGGTGTCTGTCTGTCTGTCTGCCCCGTTTTGAGTAGCGTTGTCCACAGGCTGAACGGCGGGCCGCTGAACAGTGAAATTTGGACCCGCGCGCCGGCGCACGATGTTTTCCACGGGTAGATCGCGGGCCGCTGGGGTCCGGGGTTGGGCGTGGCACGTGGCCGAAGGGCCGTTTTGGCCCACTGGCTTCGTACGGGCGGCCCAAAAATATGAGCCGACGACAAAGCCGAAGAGCAGCCGTTTAAAACCGCGGCCACATCTTGACGGCCAGGGGTCGATGAGACGAGAGACTGATACGCTTATGTACACCACTGAGCGGGGAATGGCATGGGGCTAACTTGCCGTCGCACATGCCAAGCGTCACGCGCGCAGAGGCGGCCAAGATAGAGTTGGCCGGTACTTAACTTTTTACGTTTAATACCGCATCGCGGCAGCTAGAGTGCGTGGAGCTGCGAATCAAATTTCAGTGTCGGTCGACGTATCGTTGTCAGTTCATGTGGACAACACGAGTTTGTGCGACGCACGGTTGCACCAGCAATCGTTGAGAAGCCGGAGATGTCGGCATTTCGAAAAGCGGTGCCTAATACAACACCCTGCCGTCGAAACTGTAGCAAGGATCGTGGCCAACCTTACGTGAGGCGTGTGAGCGCAAAATCACGGAGATTAGAGTACGTTCTGGCCCATTGTTCTGGTTCGCTGACCTTCGCACGAAACCCATGGCACGGTAACACATGAATCCCACTGCGGCGTCTCGGACTAATGTCTGTCTCACTGCCTACAGGCTAACGCCAAAGACACACAAACTTGACGGCGGCGAGCCGCACGGTCACGCCGTCCATGCCAACACAATTAAACCTCACCACATCGAGACAACTGTGCTGTTTTGGCGCGGCGGGCCGACCGCGAGCGAGCACACCATTGCGCCATGGCAGCCGGCCTCACTCACGGTCCGGGAGACCTGGTGCCGACGCTGTGCACGCCACGCTGCCGCCGCCGCCGGAAGGCCTGCTCGGCCAGCTTGGCCTCGGAGAGCGGCTCGATGCGCCAGAAGCTGCCCTTGCCCGGGTCCTCCTGGCTGCGTGGCACCTTGACGAAGTAGCGATTCAGCGACAGGTTGTGCCGGATCGAGTTCTGCGCAACGGGAGAGCCCCGTTAATTCACCACCGAGTTCTGCTGAAGGGAGGATCCCTGCTGCCAGGCGGCCGAGTCCCGCTGCGGGGAATTGCGGCCGGTGAATGACAGTTCTGCGGAGTGGAGGATCCTGGCCAAAAGACAGTACAGGATAGTTTATCAACATCGTTGACGAATAAAACATGCAAAGATAGACTGAACTCCACAGTACGCAGACGGGAAATTGTGTGGAAAACCGGTCGAGACAGTATTCTTTATGGACGGGTTTCATTGCATCCTTCCTGATGAAACTCAAGAGAGATAACTTAGTCTATGGTTTTGTTCGTCATAAACAATTATAGCAAGGATAGCCCTGTAATTGCTATAGGCTGAAATTGAGCTCTTGGCAAGCAGAAACCAGTCCTTCACCAGCGTGCTGCACTCTGCCCCACTGCAAAAGGCTTAAAACCAAGTAAAAGCAGTCGAGGAAGGGGGGGGGGGCAGTAGCACTGCCTTAACAGAACTCGAACGTCATCCTTCTGAGGTGGCACCACGGCACCTGAATCCAAACGGGTGTTCAGAGCCCGTGGCCGGCCCGGCGCCACTGGCTCGGCGCCGTTGCCTCGCCCACCTGCCAGCCCTTGTCGGCGGTGCGGTAGTACGGGTAGGTGCGCGTGATGAACGAGTAGATGCCGCTCAGCGACATCTGCCGATCCCGTGATGACGTCACCGCCTGCACGATCAGCTGGGCGTACGAGAAGGGCGGCTTGACGTCCGCCTGCCGACCGGAGCCCGGTCAGTCGCCCGAACGAGCTCCGTGCGGGGACAATTACACGGACAGTTCATCATTGACCCCAGGGGACCACAGATCATCCGCGGTGGCAAATGGCTGCAGGGTGTGACTCAGCTCTATGTGCGGATATGCGCATTGTTACACAGACACGGAAAACGCGTTCTGTTCGGGAAAACAAAAACAAACGATCTTTGTGAAACCCGTGCATGATGCAATGAACAGCAAGCGCCTCTGTCCATCACCGACCCACCAGCAGTGTTCCTGCTAATTCTTGACCCACCAGCAGCGCTCCTGCTTAGTCCTCACCCACCAGCAGCGTTCATTATTCCTGACCCACCAGCAGCGCTCCCGCTTATTCCTGACCCACCAGCAGCGCTCCTACTTATTCCTGACCCCCCCCCCCCCCCCCCCCAGCAGTGCTCATGCTTATTCCTGACCCACCAGCAGTGCTCTCTGCCCCACCAGCAGTCCAGCACGGCTCCTGACCACCCCTGACCCGCCAGCGGTGCTCCCTATTAAGTCAGACCCTTCTCCCAGTCAGCAGCAGCCCTCCCGCTGACCTGTTCAGCTGTGTACTCGTCGGGCCGGCCGAGCGCCGCCGCTGGCCGGGGAGCGACCGGCGGCGCGGTCGGCTCGCCGCAGTAGCCGTGGTGCAGCAGCGGCTCCGGTTCGGGCCGCGGGCTGGCCGGACGGCTGTTGCCGGCGCTGAGGGTCAGGTCAGGCAAGGTCGGGTCAGGTCAGGTCAGGTCAGGTCTCGCGCCCTGCACGGTGCGAGGTGTACGATGCAGCGCAGGTCGGCCCGGTCTGGCAAGCTGGATGGGTCTGTTGAACTGTTCGGGACTGTCGAACTGTTCGGGACTGTCGAACTGTTCGGGACTGGTCTCATTCTGAGCTAAGCCTGACGTAGAGCACGTCCAGGCGCCGATTCAGGACAGCTTGAACCTCTCTCGGGTTGACGGTCGCGCTCATTACACCGAGTGGTCTGCTCCCTGAACGCAGACTCCTCACTCTGCTCCAACGACCGGACCTTTGAACACGCGTCCGGTGCTGCCTTTCCCCGCCCCGAGCTTGATGGCTTGTCCCGACCTGAGGCTGGAGCCAGGCAGAGCCCCTCCGCAGTCCCCCCAGCCTTTGCCCACTGACTGGCCAGTTAAGCCCACCGAAGAGACCTATTTCAGCTCACTAGCCCACTGCTGTCCGCTGACAGTTCGGACCAAATGTTTGAAGCTTTGTGCACCACCAGGCTTTGGACTGAAATGAATCACCACCTTCTGTTCAGTCAGCAAATTTTGAAGCCTTTTCATAGAGCTGACTCCAAAGAGAGTGGAGTCCGCACAACACGTGAGAACCTGCTGAGACCTTGGTGGTCATAGGGTGTGTCAACTACATCAGTTGTTTGCAATGTTGAGATGTCTCAGTTTCATATACGAACAAAATGCCACAAGAAATGCCAGCAGAACAGCTGGGTAGTGGCAGTGATCCCAACTGCCAGCTGCCCCTGTGATGTCATGGATATTAACATTCAACCTTGATATCCATCAACATTATGTAAATCTTAAATGAATCCCTGAGACTTCACTTCCTCATCGCTGGTCCCAAGCACTTCAGCCAAGCTAACTAGCTCCCTGCCATTGCCCCTGGCGTGGATCACAGAACACACACAAGCACCTAAGGGCATCACATCATACACTTCAGAACCACCTCACGGTTTCCTTTTTAACAATGGAACCATGACAGCATGCCAGAACAGCTGCCATAAAAGGCCCAAACTTGCTGGAGACCACTATCAACATTTGAGCCTGTAAGAGCCTGTTGCACCGAAACAACCCCCCTGCGGCGATGCTGACCTGATGGTGGCCGTGGGGGAGAGCGCAGGGCTGGCTGGGCCGCGCGGCTCGGTCCGCTCGGCCGGCGGCAGCAGGCACAGGCCGCGAGCAGCCTCGCCCACCAGTGAAGAAAACACCACCAGCAGACCCGTGCTGGGAAACCGGATCAGACACCTGGCGGCGGCGGCAGGAGTTACGACCACCAGCGGAGAACCCACCATGGTGACAGACATTGGGGGCCTTGGTTGAGCACAGTGGTGGTGGTGGCAGGCACCTTGTCAGCAGGTCAGGCACCTGGCAGTCACAGCAGGTTGACACTATGACAGCATCAGATAACCAAAAGTCATAGCAGGCTGATATCATGTCAGTGTCAGACACTTGGTAGTCATAGCAGGTTGATGCTGTCAGTATCACATGCTTGGCAGCCACAGCAGGTTGACACTATGTCAGTGTCAGACAGTCAGCAGGCACAACATATTGGCACCATGATTGTGTCAGACATCTGGCAGTCACAGGTTGATACTATGACACTGTCAGGTGTCTGACACTTGGCCAATTGGCAACATAGCAGTGTCAGACACCTGGCATCTGCAGCAGGTTGGCACCATGACAGGTCAGCCACCTGGCAGCTGCAGCAGGTTGGCACCATGACAGAGGTCAGCCACCTGGTAGGATGGAATGTATTACAGCAAAGTGGAAGAATGCCGTCAGGGTGAAGATGGCACAGCAATGGGTCAGATGCTAGGTATTGAAAGTGATGGTCAGTATGACAGTGGCCAAGCTGACACAAGGCAGGATAGAGCCAGGGTTTGGTAGAAGAATTACAACAGTTTTTTTACAATTGTTGTGCATGCTTGCATTTATACAGGTTTTAACAAAAAATGTAAGAGGAAAAAGGAACTATCAGTGATACCTTGGATGTCCATCTGCAAAAAGTACATCCACTGCACTAGATGCCTACTTTACTACCTAGTGTCTTCTTAAACCTCAATTTGTACCAGCTTGCATTTGTTAGCAAAATGGTGCAGGATAGCCACAACTGTGTTCATAATTAGATGCCATCATGGAGATTTGGCCGGGGTGCCATCATGGCAAACATTGCTCTTTGGAGCCTATTTTGGAATTTTTAGCATGAAGTTTGAAACAAAAATTGGGGTGGCCAATCTTAATTTGGGCATCTCATGGTAGCTAGGGACAGGTATTAAAGGTGGTCAGAGATCAGGTAAAGCCAGAAAAGCAGCAACATGTGAGAAAATTAGGGAGTCACAGTTTGTAAAGGATGGGGAAGCCCTAAAGCTAGATGTCCCACTTTGTCTTTCAACTATGCCATAGTTGTTTTTGTCAATGCTATGTTGTCCTCCCCAGCACTGGGCATGACTATGCATACAACAACAGATAGCCAGAGATTCACCAATACCATCAAAGCACTGGACAAAAATTTGCATGCAAGCACAAAGAGTTTTGCTTATACCAGTTTTGGCTCATTACTCTGCACAGGTAAACCACTTGCAATCAATCTCACACCAGATAAGCCACCATGAGTGCAGCAGCTCCAAAACTATTATTCTATTGTTAGCATTGTCCAGATTTATGTATTTTTAGATGCTGCAACTTTGACAATGTAATGGTGCATGGTAAAAGTTTAGATGGTTAAGTGTCAATGCAATTGTTTCCACTGGCAAGGCTTTGTGCAATTTTGGCCCATCTCAAGCGGAGCAGTGTGGTTACTTTAAAGTCAGTAATGTGAATAGAATAGTATAGAAAACTATATAAATGTAGTCTAGTAAAGTATGACATACAAAAGTGAAGTACAGGAAATCTTGGAAAGCACCTACCCACTCCCTGATCAACACCTCATTAACCTCTGTCCCAAGCAGAGAGGTTTGTCACCCCAACTGGGGCAGGAGCAGACCTGCCCCAAGTGTATTATTGACTGGTATGTCACCATTCAAAAACTGGGTCAATGGTCAAGGATTGCTTTCCAACTATTCTTAATGATGGTGAACACAATTATTTACATAAAATGATTGCAATTATCTTGAAGATTAGCAAACTGGATACCAATCTCTGGTACAATGCTCATTTTAAGACATACTAGCATGACAAAAGATCTGCTCATTAACTGTGAATATCCTGGAAGCCTTTGGTCCTGAAACACTGAGTTCTGTCAGTTCAAATGCAATAAGTGACCAAGTAGCAAATCACTAACAACTTCTGTGGCAATATGAGTTGCTGTAAAGAACAAAAATAGCACATCACACAATGTCTTACTTGGGAGGAAGCATGACCAGTGGATCATTTGGCCGCTGGAAACTGCCATCCACAAATATACCGTTTTTGCCATTACACTTCAGGTAGAAATCTGGATCCTCAAATACGATCTCCAGGTGAACACGTGAAATGTAATTTGAATGCCCCAAGTCTACGTCCACTTCACCCCGGGAGCTGTGTCTGCCAATCGTTACTCGTCTCCTTCGGACATAATACTCCAGATCTTTCCACTGCAGCTTTGCAAAGGCAGGCTTTTCATCCTGATACTGTATCTCCATTTTACGTTATAACAAACTTGCGTGGAGACATCCCCCAACACTGGCTCGACTCCGCGTCCCCTCCATTTGCGATCACCCCAACAAGCATTACTACCGGCGCAAGCTTGGGCGCAAGAGCGCAGCACATGACCACACATGCCGACAAATGGCGGTATGTTGGTGATGCAGACTAAATAACTGCCAACTTTTTCGATACACTGCAATAAGATTTGCCCACCAGTGGCCTACAAGAACGACGCTTTTCACAATGTGCTTCTAATTTAGTTTATTCTTTTAGGTCCAGCCGTAGAAAAAAGGATTTCAGACACAACACGATCATTTTAGGCTAGCCTAGAGGTCATTTGTAGCCAATTTAGTTCAAATTTCTACACAATTCAAATGAAAACAATGAAGGTCTATGTGACCAGGTACAATGTTTTTTATGTGATCAGAAACAGTGTGCTGTGCATCTGCAGATACTTAAGATCGTATAGATGTCTACATCAGGCCCTTCCCTTCGATGTCCCTTCGACGCTTGGTAATGCTTATCGGTGATGCTTATCAAACTGAAAACAGGCACGTTGGTACATAAGATTATGCGTCGTCCGCTTCATTCATACGACAGGGAAATGGCTACACCCGTCGCACTCGTTCATCTACATCCTCCACTACTGACGACACCGGTTAATGACCCTGGATGATACTATATGACCTTGCATATTCTCACCTTACCTTACCTTGCCTTATGGTGACTGGGAGTTATAAAAGACCACTAGGTCCGTCGGTCCCGGCCTCGTCAGGCTACCGGTCCGGTAACAGTCTCAAATTATGGGTAGATTTATTATGGGATGTCATACATGATGTCGGCTCAGTGTAAATCGCCCAGACTTGAATTGTTCAACTAAGGGTGACGACACGACCAGGTGTGGCAGAGCGTTCCACACATTGACGACCAGTGTGCTGAACGAAATACGACGGACGGGAGTCCTAGCCTGAGGTTTTCTCAGTTTCCATTGGTGTCCTATCGTCACCTCCGAATTGTGTCTTGTCAGCAACTCCACCTCCGACAGCGACATACCTCCGTGACACAGCTGGTATACTGTAGGCGTGTCTCCCCTGCGACGACGGTAGCACAGCGAGGGCAGCTGGAGGAGTCTGAGCCCCTCAGGGTATGGCCAGTACCTTGCTTCATAGACAAGACGGGTAACTCATCGCTGAACCTGTTCCAGCCGCTTCTGGTCCAGTTTGCCGAACGGGCCCCAGACGACGTTACCATACTCCAAGTACGGACGTACTGAGGTCTTGAAGAGCGAAGGCAACGTGTGAGCATCGATGTTCGCAAAAGCCCGCCTCACGACCGCCAGCATCTGGTTGGCCTTAAAGATCGCCTCCGCTGTCTGCACGTGGAACTTGAGCCTTTAATCCACGAAAATCCCGAAGTCCTTATCGGTGGATTCGACTGCGACTTCGGTGCCGTCTGCAGCCTCGGGTGGCAGTTCCAGATATGCATTATTTTGCACTTTGTTGCACTAATGGGGAGCAGTGACTTCTTTGGACACTTGGCCAGGGCGTTGAGGTTAACCTGTAGAGGTGTCTGTCATGGGCCGCGGGACGCGACAGTAGATCCTGATGTCATCCGCGAGCATTTTGACCACGCTTTGCACTTGTTCTGGTAAGTCGTTAACGAAGATTATGAATAGCGTTGGTCCCAGCACCGATCCTTGCGGGATACCGCCGATAACGTCGCTCCAGTCCGACTTCGAGCCTGGATCCGCACCTTTTGCATCCGGTTGGTAAGGAAAGCCCTGTCCAGCGCACCAAGTTGCCTATCACGCCGCAAGCATTGAGCTTGGGGAGCAGACGGTTATGAGGTACAGAATCAAAGGCTTTCTTGGAGTCCAGGCACGCCACGTCCGCCGGCTCTCCATCCTCCACCGCGGCAGTCCAATCTTTCAAGTCTTCGAACAGCTGGGTGACGTAGGACCGGTTTGAGAGAAACCCATTCTGGGTTGCTTAAAGATGTCCAGACTCCGAGAAGTGATTAATTGGGGCATCTTTGACAAAATATTCGAGTATCTTGGAGGAAACGGCAGTAAGACTTACTGCAGGGGCGGATCCAGGATTTCGTCGAGGGGGAGGGGGCACGAAACATCGAGGGGCGCCCCTAGAGTTTTGGGTCCTCTAGAAATCTGCTGGCATTCTTCCCATTTAATTTGTAGATAAAAAGTATAAAATATGTATATAAATATATATACATATATATATATATATATATATATATATATATATATATATATATATATATATATGTGTGTGTGTGTGTGTGTGTGTGGTGTGTGTGTGTGTGTGTGTGTGTGTGTGTGTGTGTGTGTGTGTGTGTGTGTGGTGTGTGTGTGTTGTGTGTGTGTTTGTGTCTGCATATTCACATATATATTTCATAAAACGGGAACCCACCTTACTGAGCACAGCCCTATAAAACTAGGCGTGCTACGTATGCACATACATGGAGCTCACTCATTTTCTACAGATCATGTGAAATCCCGTGATTTTGAAGTAACTGTTTCGGAAAAAAAAAACAGATGAAATAGACTCAAGCTGGCTGCTAAATACGATCAAATCCAAGGACGAACTTCATTGCTAGCTTATTCACGGGTAGCCGGCTGGGCGATGTAATCAGCTGATGGCTGAAGAATAAATGATAATTTTTCCTTTGTTAAAAAGTAGAGCACAAAATCCCAACATTCAAAATATGTTAAGAACGTCGTGCGCAAAAATAATAAGTCACAGAATAGAAAAGGAAAATGGCACATACGTCGTCGGCGGCACGTAAAGTTACGTTCGACAATGGCGCGCAAAAATTAATCGGCGAATATCCGACTGCTGCTCTATGGCTAAGGCACCAGCACCACGAGGGAAGAAACCTGAGCGATCATGGGTGCCGCAGGAGGCGAACAAACAGGCTCCTGTCGAGAAGTGTGGGGTCCTCAGAGCAAGCAAAAAGAGCCCAAGACCAACGTGGTTTGTCCCTAGACGACCCGTAGTGCGCTGGCAGGCTGACATATAAGGCCCCGGTCAGAGTACAGGACCTCTAGGCCAAGTGGAATTGCCCAAGACCACGAATAAATACCCCTGTGCCATCAAGTGCGCCCGGGCAGGCCCCGACAAGAGCGTAGGGTCCTACATTAAAATGCCCGATGCGCAGGACCCCAGACAATCCAAAGTGCCAGAGCAGGTTAAATGGGCCCTCGTCAAGAGCGTGGGGACCTCCATTCAAATAGTAAGCCCCAAGACCCAATGAAGGGGGCCCTGAATGATTGAGTGTGTTCGAGTAGGTTAACAGGTACGGCTCCTAACAAGAGCGTAGAGGTGCTTCCACTCAAATAGGAAGTACTCAAGACCCAATGTAAATGGCCCCCACCTCACTAACTATGGCCCCTCCCCTGGCTCAAAATCGGCCAATCAGCATCGAGTCGGACGGCTGTCAAATCAGCATCTATGCGCCTCAGGCCTGACAAATGGGCTGAGTAGGTCAGATGTCCGAACCGGGGTCGAAGAGCAACGGGTTAGCGCCAACGAATTGCGTGCGAGGACCGCCGAAGGGTCAGAGTTTTAATAGCATGAATTTATATTTACATCCTGCACACCCTGCTAGATGAATTTTGGAACGCTTGAGTCCAAGGGGGGGCATTGGCCCAGTGGCCATCCCATCTGGATCCACCCTTGACTCACTGGGCGTTAGCCCGCTGGGGACCGTCAGTTCCCTTTCTTGAGGATCGGGACTACCTCGCCAAGCTTCCACTCCTGGGGTAGCCTTTCATATGCCAAAGATTTTCGGAAAACCGTCCTAAGGGGTGCTGCCAGGACGTCTGCAGACTCACGAAGACGTCTTGGGTGGACATCGTCTGGCCCAGGGGCGCTCGAGGTCTTCAGAGCAGCCAGTTTCTTTGCCACTGCCTGGGTAGAGATATTCACGTTATCCAAAAACGGCACCGTAAAGTTGCGATCCATCACAGGCATGGCACTAGTCACTTCATCCGTGAGAACATTGGAAGAATTTACAGAGGGCATCGGCATTTCCTTCGTTGCTGCTAGTCAACACTCCATCATCGCCAAGACGGTCTTCCACCCTGCATCTTGCGCATAGTCTTGAGTGGGCGTGCCTCCAAAAGGCCTTGGGGGTTCCCTTGACGTCCGCTGCTAATTGCATCTCATACTCCTTCCCGCATGTTTCTGGTCGACTTCCGAAGGTTATGGCGACACCTCACAAACCTGACATGGTCCAGAACATCCCGTTCCCGCGTGTACGTACGCCATAGTCTTTTCCATAGTTTTTCCTCAAGTGACCTCTGGTAACTAGCTCATGTATTAGAATGATATCAAAAGATGTGTGTTGTGTGGTATCCGAATTTTGCGTTCAACTTACCTAATAAAACTGCCTATTTTGAGCTAAACATGTGTTTTGCAAAAGACGTCCATACTAGTAGATTATGCCCTTAATCAAGGTTACGGTCATATCAAAGTCATATGGGAGTTGTGCATCTGATATATTTCAAGGCCATATGGGAGTTGTACATCTGAGTTGACACTTTTCCTAAAGTGCAAACACCAAAATTGCGCAAAAATGTGTACAGCTATGCATTATTTACGAAAAATAGCATATATTAATGTGATTCCAAGTCACTTACACCACCTGTTTTTTTTTATCTGAAATCTGTGAACAGTTGGTACTATCATCTTCTCCTACTTGAGGAAATCTGGGCAATGGCTAATACCCCGCACAAATGTTATGCGTGGTAAATTCGTTTTAGAGGCTGATCTGTTTGACTTGACCAAGGTCGCTGATCTTGGTAGATGAATAATTTGAATTTACGCAAAGGATGCTAAATTGATAGATGAACAGGTACCGAAAATGTGTGTTCCTTCAAACATTTTTCTACCTGTGGTCCAAAATCCGTAGGGGGAAGCCAATCTCTTCCTCCCGGCCGAGCGCGTCTTAAATGTGTGCTTTTCAGGGAGTTGTGAATCGAACTCTACCAAGCCAATTTTGATGAATGCGGCGGCAAACGAAAGATTGCTTTGTTGTCTTGAGCCGT